GAGGGGGGGGAGGGGGAGAGAGAAAAAAGAGGGACGCGCACATGGACACGCATGCGAAAGCGCGCGCAAACAAGCGCCGGCCGCTAACCAGCGCGATATTTTTCTCAGCGAGAAAATATCATCGAGAACGGCGCGATGTGTTAAAAACAAATTAGACGTCGAGCGATGGCCCGATTCCCGTTCCTTCGGGAGGTAAGACAGTCAACAGGTAAGCGAAGCACGCGAATGCATATCTACGAGAGATCAATGTACCAAGATAATCGAGGAACGACTATACTCTCACTCTTTTTGCATACCTCCCTTTATCTTCAGCTTTCTTCCTATTATTTCTATCACGACTAATTAAGCTAAGTAAATTTTACAGGAATATTTTTAATGATTCAGGAATTAATATATCAATAGATTTGTTATTTGAAATCCCCACCAATTTTTTACTTAAGAAGACATATACATATATTTAGACGTTTAAGAAAGAGAAAGTAAAGATTTGGAGTGCAAAACGTGCAACCAATACGGATAGATCTTGTTTCATGCTCCGCATATCTTAAAGTTTGTCGAGTAATCGAAATCCATAGAAACTCATAAACAGTCTGCTGATTAAATGAATGCGCATTCCGCTCGCAATTACTATAGAAGAATCTCGTCAAAGGCTACTTATATCTCTTCTAATTGAATAGTTCGAAATTACAGTTGTTAATCAAACTTAAACAACCTCGAGCAATAATAACCGGAATTTTCGCAAAGACAGATTGCCGCTCGAAGGAAGGATGAAGATAATGAACCCAGTAGTTAAAATTACAACGGAATATCCATTCGGCGGAATGTTCTGCTTTCTGCAGTGTGCAAGAGCTCAGATTTAAGTACCACGAAATCTAATATTCCTGCTTTGTAAGTAACGTATGAATTTCTGAAATAATCTTTAATCACTGAGATTACAAGCTTTTGCACAAATCAATCTGTGTCAAATAAATATAATCGTTAAATATATATATATATATATATCGAATTACATATATCCAATTTGTACTCAAAATAAAATAATTTTATATCCAATAATAACAAAAATTTTTATCCAATTGAAAATAATTTTATATCCAATTTAATAATTTTCGAAAAATGTCAAGAATACTGTAAAGGTTATCAATAATTTCCCGATGATTATATTGACATATTTAACGATCGTATTTATTAGATTACTGTCTGTTATTATAAGTAATAGCACAGATAATACTCAGTATAAAGGTATTGTATAGAAATAAATTTCCACGCAAATGCAAATAGAAAAAAAGTTTATTTAATTTTATTTAAGTTATTTCATTACTTAAACTTTTATTAACTTAATCTAACATTCCGGGAATCGCGCGATTGAAACGCATCCGTGGGCGGTAAGCTGTTCATGGAGAAATCGCAGTGGGTGGTCCTTTCTTCGTAGTAATCGAGTAGAAAATTCAATCGCGATCTGACTTTCGCATGGCTAGTTTCGCTCATTGTTATTGATTCGATTTTCAAAAGATAGCCTCCCAGAGGAAGAAAGGAGTATTTTCCAATCGATCTCTTTCTTTTCTCCTGCGATTCGTCGCAGCTGTCGACGTTATAGCTTCAATCGGTTGCACACCGATTTACCTACAGTTTGTTATCAATTCTCTCCTGGACGTGTTATAATTCGGAAATTACACAAATCTCTAAATTCTCCATCATTTTTTACCGAATTTTTATTTTTAATGCTATGCAACGTTATTTACATGAATTCACGTAATAAAGCACGTAAAACATACAAGAATAACTTAATAGAAAAATTAGAATTTAATTAATTTAATTAAATATGTAGCGCTTACAATTAAATATAAGTAGTTTAATTAAATACGTGCCTCATCGAAAATATAAAGTGGTTCGCAATCGTAATAGAGAAATTAATTGATCGACATTCAACCCGAAATTATCAATATTCAAATAGATTTCTCGGTTGGTCGAGATGAAAGTGGTATCCAGAATGGTACCAGAATTGATCGCGGTTACAAAGCGTCGTACACCACACGGGGCATACGCGAGAGCAATGTTACGAGATGCACCCCCAAAAAATTCGGGACCGCAGCGCGGAAGGGTGGGAGAGGGGGAAGAGGGGAGAGCAAAACGCGGTACTGGAAGATGCAGTCCGACGTAACCTTTGACGTCGGGTCGCGTTGCGTTATAGTCGGCAGGCGCGCTTTGAAGTCGCGTGTATTTTAATGCAACGGCGAACTGTGCATATCGAGAGACTGCTGAATTAATCGCAGGGCACTCTGCGCGGGATGAGGGCGGTAGGGAGGTCGGAAAAGGGGATGGTACGGGGAAAACCGGCGGAGGGTAGCGGGGAGGGGGCGAGGGAGAACGAGACGGCCCCGCTTTTCTGGGGCACGTGCCCATGGGTATCGGTATTTCGGGGTGCGTTAATACCTCACTATCCAGACGGATAGAGAGAGAACAGAGCGAAACATCCACTCCTGCACATTGTTTGCGGCTTGGAATCAATAAAAGCATAGCTTTAGGCTACGATGGTCGCCATGGCAACCGGAGACCCATCCGTGCACTATCCTACTCTCTCTCTCTCTCTCTCTCTATCCATGCTCTATGTCTTTCTCTCTCTGTCTCTTTCTCTCTCTGCTTCTCTCTCCCTCGTCCTTTTCCCTCTTCCCCCTCGTCGTTCCTACGCCACCCCCGCATCTCTCTCAAACCCCGCAGTTTATCTCTGTCCCTTTTCGATCCTCAAACACGCACACCCTCTGTTCTTCTCCCGTCTTCTCTTTCTCCCTCGCGCTCTTTCGAACGCCGCATCTGGCGTTTTCCTTCTCTTTTTCCTCGCTTCTTTTTTTTTTATTCTCTTTCTCCATCTCTCCGCTATCTCCTCAAAAATTCTAGTTCGGTCAACTCAAATTTCATAGCCGCGATAAAGTGCTCTTAAACTCACATCGATTTAATTACGATAAGAGCGATTTGAAAAAACGAATCTCTCGTGGATCAATGTCTTGACGTTTCCTTCATAATAAGCAAAATATATGGAACTGCCAGAGATATACATAAATTTTTATTCTCAGATAAGTCGGTCAAAAAACTGATTTTTTCGAATTTCTATTACAAGCCTCATTAGTGTGTCGAAAAATAGGTTTGATCTTTATTGTAATTCCAATGATTTTGAATTCTAAAAATTTAACGGGATTTATTAATAGAATGAATGGCAAATCACCCGCAGAAATTGAAAAGCTGCGATTTTTAGCGGTCCAATGTGACACCATTGTTAACTTTTGCGTAAAACGTGGTGTGTCCGTACAGCAAATAACGACGATATTAATAATACACATTGTTATTATTTGTGCTGTTACGTAAACGTAGATATGCGTGCAACAGGATATTTTAATACTCTAAAAATGTATATTCACCGGATACCTGTGCTGTACAGAAACAGTTGCGTAATAATGCATAACAAAAGGACGAGTTTCCGCACGCGGAGCTTTTGGAAGTCTTGCCGTGTGGAATGAAGGGGATCGAACCGCAAGTAATAACAAAAATATTACCGCCGGTACTGTCGTGATTTCGTCTAAATTTCTGTAAACGTGATAATAGTAACAGCTTTGCATAAGTACTTATTGGCTGTATCCATTGCACGAAAATTCGAGAGGTATTTAGTTACTGAGTTTCGTCGCATTTACAATCATATGAAAAAAAATGAAGAATCAACTCAAGTTTACAAAATTGACATTTTGTCTAGTATAAAAAATTTTCTCTTATTTTTAAGAAATGAACTATAAATTGCATAATGCATATAGAAATTTTGAATGGAGAAAATATATTTAAAATATATTTTTAAAATTAAAAACATTTTATAGAGATATATTTTTAATATTTTCTATAAATATATTCTATAAAAAATATATTTTTAAAATTAAAAGAGAGAAATTAAAGACATCTAGAATATATTTTTAATTTTTTACAATATATTTTTAATTAGCAGAATTCAACTCTGAGGAAAATATTTCAAAATAAATGTTTACCACAAACACAAGGCTAGCGTTTAATTATTAATTTAACCGACTTCTTTTTCTCTCGTAAAGAGAAGCAAGATGATCGGAGGAAAGATTTCAGCAGAAATTCCCTGCGTTTCGATGAAATTCCCTGATAATTCTCGGCTTCTCTATACGAGGCAAGTTCCTGGCAAATTTCAAGTTTTTTTTTCGAGTTCTTCCTGGACGATGAACGCTCAGCGTGAGTCGACTGGAGTAATCCGCGTGCTTATTCCGCGCGGCAAAAGAAGCGAGATGATCGGATTAGCCGACTTTTCGCAGGGATTTGGACGAAAACCAAACGAGAGAGAGCCCGCTCAAAGAGAGCGGCCGTGCGTTCGGAGCAACTCGTCCAGCACGCAAACTCCGCTGGAAAAACGTCGATAAGCGTCGCACGCTTCTCGCCGATCAAGTCGAGAGCGACCGGGGTTTTGTGGAACCCGCGCAGGGGATCGAGAGAACGGAGGGTGGATCGAGCAGTCGATCTTTGCGGGCGGGGTCGGATCCATCGCCGACTGAGTCGATCGACGCACCGCCGCGGGAAGTCAAAGATATAAGGTAAAGGTATAAATGCCGGGCGCGTTCGCCACCTGCGCTACGAGATTTCGCTTCGGTGCAAAGCAGCTGAGAGGAGTCCAGGTTAAGACCACCGACGTGGTGCTCCATCTATCCGGAGGGTGGCGACTACCTTTCACGAGGGGTAGTCTCCAACCTTGCGAGACGCGAGATATCCGCCGATAATTATGGTCAGCGGATGTTGGACAGCCGAGTAGAATATTCGCTGTTGAGAAACACGGAGATGTCGAGTTTTGTAACGACAGTTTCATGTATGATATTGCGGAGACATATGTCCAGTCTCGCCCTAATAGTACTGATAAAATTATCGCGGATATAAATTTACACTCGGATAGCACAACTACTCTTCGTGAGTAATAGTAGGCTTGATATCTTTTAAATCGTATCGTACACATTGCTCCCTTATTTAAAAGAAGTAACATGACCCAAAAGATTAAGTTTCTCAAAAAAGAAAACAAATTATTGTTCAATTTGGTGGAAAATTATTGACCAATAAAATAATATCAGCAAAAAATATATTCTCAACATGATTAAATTGTTGTCATTTTTGTTTATATCTCTTGGAAAACCACTCTTTTGAGTCGTAATGATTTTTTAACTATCTTTTTTATAAATTATGACGATTCTTTATGAAGTTAAGTTAATTTATACTTTGATAATTGTGATAGGCTAACTGAACATTATATTAACAAGATTGATATAACGTTTATTTAATTACTTATTCGTTGTAATAATCCAAGAAATGTATTTCAAGTTATGTCACTTTTTAAATAAAGGAGCGATAGATATATAATACACAAAGATGTATTGTATTTAAATATGTTTAATGATATAGAAGTAAATATAATGTACTATATAATTACGTGACATTTAATGTAGTACATTTGTGCACACTGTATAATAAGATATTAGACTTTTAAACTCAGTTGCATCTACAGCGAAGTAACAATTTCCTTGCTTGGATTATGAAATTTTTCCTACATATAGTTTTCTTGAAAATTAGATACATAATAGATAATACCATGGGAGTATTGTTGAATCCCATAAAATATTAGAAAAAAAAAAAATAGAAAATATCATTCTAGGAATGTATGGAAAATTTTGGTCAATTTCAAGCTTCTCTTCCACGACTGGAAGAATAAAGGATAGAAAATACGTTTGTGTCGTGATACAGATATAACACCTGTACGCGGTCAATCTCGCTCCATGCCGAACCGATTAGCATCAAATCCATAAGCTCATCCGTACATCCGTTATATACCGAGTAACGTGAGATTGTTGCCGATCCCGATGATATCGGGGAGGAGTATGTCGAGCGCAGGTCCCCTGTAAGACGACACAGGTACATATGGGCTCTCCCGTCGTGAATGGACCAAATGATATAAATTATTTATAGATTTCGACACCCAGACAGAGAGAGACACAGAGGCGGGCGCGGAGGGTGCATGGAATTGGGGTGAGTCTGGACCCCCTAGGGGGTCCCTTCGCGATCGAAAACCCCCGGGGGACTCCCCCGCTCTCCCCTTAACATATGCATTCTCGCTTCGAGATCACCGTAAGCCTATATAAAATTGATTCCTAAGTACCTCGTATTCGTGTCGGCCTCGTGTGTCTTTTAACACCTACATACTTGCTTTTCTTTTTCCAAATACGTAAGTAAATAAGAAACGAGTACTGCAATAACTAGCTTCAGTTATCGATTATCTTAAGCAGGTATGATAAATCTAGTCTGTTTTTTTTTTTTTAATCAATGAGAAATATTTTAAATATTATTATTCTTTGTAATGCGTAAAACGTGACTATCTTATACCATCTGCCATTTTCAACTTACTATTTATTGTAAAATTTACCATTTTATATGAACTCAGTTCCACCAATATATTATAATAAAATTATGTATAGATTCAATTTACTATATTCTGAGAATTATAAAAATTATAAATAATAAGTTAAATTGATTATTGTTAATTTTAAATTGGTAGAACTGGCCCTCTCTTTTAAAAACACAGAAATCTTGCTGACTGTACTACGCCGAGCATTTTCGAACTCGGTCTTGTAACAAATCGGAATGGGCCCACGATCGCGCAGCTCGCCCCCCTGGGGTCCAATCTAAATCAATGGGCTTGTGGGTAATCGCATAATAATTACCATGGACTCCCTCTACCGCCCATCTGTCGCTGACCGACGGGGCGTACGACCCTCGGAAGAAGCAGGCACTCCATACACGGCGACACACCCGATGAACATGTCCCAGCAGGTCCCATTGTCGACGAGCACCGTTCGGAATGTCGCGAAGTTGAGACGCCCCTCGGCATTCATCACTCTTTCCAAACTACCATACATTCGATCGTGTACAAACCACCGCGAAATGCAAATTAATATCAATGCTCAAATTAATATCAATTTCAATCCACAAATTAAGTTTCGTATGTGAAGCTTGCATCATATATAAATTACCGTGAGATTTTTCCAAAGCTGTATAGACACATTTCTTTATAATGTAAACAAAGAATGTGTGAAGTATTATCATCAATAAGCTATTTATTTCAGATAACAAAATGGAGACAATATTTTTAATCAGCTTTTGCCTCGGCCTAGCGACCGGCCAATTTCGTGGACCACATCATCCAAGGAGTAGCGTATCTCATCATCATTACACACCGAATAGCAATACAATTAAATTGACGCAGGACGACGAGCTCCTTCACGATGCAACGTGAGAAATAAATAAAATAATTAGTTTTAATAAATATATATAAATCTTGTTGTTTTATAATAATCAATTCCTTTATGTATATTTTTATATATTATATAATATATATTTATTACAACGATGATATAATTTAAAATAATTTTTAGTTGCTTACAAAAAAAGAAAAAAAAAATAATTTAAAAGAACATACTTTTATTCTCCTCTACAATGTTATTTTTACTAAAAATTGCATTTTAAAATTGATATAAAATTTTAATAATGCATTCTCAAACTCATTTTCAGGAAAACTATTTTTTTAATTGTGTCGTCGTAGTATTATAAATATATGAAATAATTTGGCGTATCAATAATTTTAAAGGTTGATGTCTAGTATATAATACTGATAATGCGATATTTAAAGTACTACAAAATTTTCCAGTTCATGTAAATATAACTTGTTTTTTATATACTTTATCTTACAATTTTAGACATCTAAAGGAAGATATAGGTTCCATGGCCGATCAACTCGATTTTTCGGAAATGACTGAACAAGAAATAGAGTTCCACTATTTTCAGTACGTTTCAAATATCAGAGATTGCTTCATTTATCCATCTTCATTAATACATTGTCAATATATCTTCGTAATTATAGAATTCACGATTTCGACAATAATACAAAGTTAGACGGATTAGAAATTTTTCATGCTCTTCAACATACTATGCATGAAAATGATGAAGAGGAGATACAAAAACTAGATGAAGATTGGATTGTAGGTACGTTTTAATTCATAGACATAATAATTCATAGTCATTTAGACATTCATAAAATATATACTACATTGATTCTTTTAGAAGTACACAATAAATTAATTTAATCTCTATTTTGTGTTAGTGCTAATAGATAAAGTGTTAGAGGAGGACGATTTAAACAACGATGGATATCTAGAATATGTCGAGTATGTGTTGGGCAGACAAAGGGATCATATCACACAAGAGAAACGCAACAAACTCAGAATCGAAACATAAAGATTTTAGATATAAACGATTTGCATCATATAGGGTGATTTTTAATTATATGTCAATAAAATTTGTGTTGTAAAATTGACTTTAAAAGTGATAAAGAGAAAAGAAATTAAGGAAATCTTGATGAAATAAATTCAAATAACATAAAACATGAAAAATATTAAAAGAGAAAAACAAAAAACAGGAAGTGAAACAGAAAATAAAAAATTATTTAATATAAAACAGCAATCAAATAATACAAGTAATGAATAAACTTAATATATGCCGTAATCTTTTTATTTTTATCATAAGAATCTAGATCCATTTTCTGATATATATTATAATTAGGAACCATTATATACATATAAAGAAGAAATTATAAAGGGTGCCTTCCAACAAGCGACACACATGACACGGTGTGACACAGTGTATCAGTACGTCCTTGTTGTTCGCCAATGTTAAACAAGGATGAGATAATCATTGTGTCGCACCGTGTCACTTGTTGGAGGCACCCAAAATGTAAAATACATTGTAAGAGCTAATACAAATTATAAAAATTATAATAGGAATCAAGTACTGTTGATATCATATTGCGGGATATTCAGTATTATGGTCAATATTCATAATCAGTTCTTATATTCAAGACCATCTTCAGTTCTGTCTTGAGATGTTACAAACCAATGAGAAGGCCGTAAATATCGCCTTAAGATATTATTTAAGACGATCTTGAAATAAGAACCGGTCTATGTCAGAAAACAATTGTCACAATTTTTTACTTGTAATCTGAAGACACAGTAGTGTCTCGGCGCTAAGCCAAACGCAGCGACACTACCGTTCCTTACTATATAATACTTTGCTATTACCAATTTCATCCAGAAAATCAAATTAATTTTTCGATAAATTACATATAACATATATTTTCGATATTTGAACTTTTGGATGAAGAACTTTATATCATAAACCAAAGAAATAACTTAGACAGAACATACGTTGCCGATTCGTATTATGGTGATTATAGTATGAATGTTTATAACACTCACGAGAAAAAGCCGAATGCTGAAGAGTGAACTTAACTAAAGTATCTCATATTTTCCTTTATCATTAATCCCTTACAGCTATTCCTCGTGGAAATGCTCCTCGTCCAGGTTTTTGGTTCTTTCTCTTCTTAATCAAATTCTGTGTATAGAGGAACCTTCGTAATAATTAAATTTTTTTCCCAAAGATCTTTTGCTACTTGAATCTATAAGTCAAAATAATTGCAAGTTAACATCGTATACACACCACTTAATAATAATAAAATATCGCAAACACAATATGCTTCATACCTTTATGTCATCATCATCTTCGATTACAGAGGAACCTTCGTAATAATTAAATTTTTTTCCCAAAGATCTTTCGCTACTTGAATCTATAATAGTCAAAATAATTGCAAGTTAACATCGTATACACACCACTTAATAATAATAAAATATTGCAAACACAATATGCTTCATACCTTTATGTCATCATCTTTGATTCGCAATTCCCTCACAGATATAAAATCAGGATAGCATGTTATTATTTGTTTAATCGCAGGTACCAATTCTTTGTCAATTTCTAAAAAATGTGGCTCATATTCGTGATATTCTTTGGAATTATCGGTAGAGTAATATATTTTATATACGTCTTCTTTTATTAATCTAAAAATATAGTAACATAATTATATAGTCATTTTTGAATTTGCTTTTCAAAATGGATTATGGCTTACCTTATGCAATGCAATCTTAACAATCGTATTCTAGTCGAAAGCTTAATTTCCTTATAGCACTTATACCCATTAATGTTTAAAAATTCGCCGTCTTCCAATATTGTATTTCTCCGTTCCTTCTTAAAGACATAAGGGGGTAGAAAATCATGGATATGACCTTTGGCCATCAAATCGGCTGCATTGTCAATATCGATATAATCCAATAGCAGAGTAATCAATGTTTTAACATTATTCTTGAAAGCATCTTTATGGCAACTTGAATCGTATGCTTCACCAACATATTTTAAATAATTCAGCGGTAGTCCTTCACGAAAACAAACATTGTTTTTAGTGGCTTGCTTCAGAGCTTGTGGAAGCACTTTTTCAAGCAAGTTACACCAACTATTTCTCTGATACACGCTTACTGTGATGTGCAAGCTATGACTATTACGAGTCATTGCTTGATGGATGGTTCCTCGTGGTAGATATAACAAATCTCCAGCTTTGACAATTGTGTCCATTATTGGCTCTCCTATCTCTGATTGGTCAAAATTCTTGGAGGAATACCTGGGTAAATATTGATTCTGTTTAAGTGGCTTATATAATTTCCATCTCTTTTCACCTTCGACTTGCAAGATAAATGCTTCCACATCATCATAATGAGGGGCAAAACCTTGGCTATTAGGTGGCGTGAGATATATATTAGCACCAACAAAGCAACCAAAGAATTCTTGCAGAGTAGCTATAAAAATCATGTTACAAATTTAAAAAATTATAAATTCTTAGAATTATAACTACACTGTATTTCTTACCATTTAATGCATGTATTTTGCCCATAAATATTTGAGGATTTAACATTCTCACGGAGCATTTGTTTCTATAATAGTCCCAAACAACACTTGAATAAGCGCGACCAGGAGGATTATGAGTCTCTCTCACTCCATTAGAGTAGGAGGTTATGTCAATATGTTTAGTAAATAGAACATTATTATTTTTCAATGTATCATCTAATACATGTAATGTTAAAAGTTTCTTGTAAAAATTATGCGACTCTCTGTTTACATATAATGGATTCTTTTCCCAATTTTGTCTGATTCAAATTAAAAATGTGTGTTAACACATAACAAAAAAAAATATATATATAAACAATCATACTTATTGATTTCAACTTACTTGAAGAAATTGTCTACATCCATAGGATATATCATCCATTTCAATAATTGATGACAGTCTTTAACAGGATCATGATCATTCTCAATATCACTCATATCTACCTCAATATTTGTATTAGTTAGACTTTTATAAACATTATAGTCATCATTTAAATTTGTGTCATCATTTAAATTTGTGTTACTTAAATGATTTGAATTATTTGGATTACTTTTATAACTTAAATCTGTATCATTTAAGTAACTTGAATTTATAAGATTTAAAATATATTTTATGTTTTTTATCGACTTATTTTTTGATTTGTCCTGAATAATCTGAGCTGTTTTTACAGCAGTCTTTTTACTTTTCTTATTCTTTTTATTCATCGTTTTTGATTTTGATTTAATAGATTTGTGCAGCATCTCTGTCTTCAATTGTTCTTTTTTCGTGTACAAAGCTTTCGTTTTCATCTTTTCCCTTTTTTTTCTCAATAATTCAGTGTTTTTATGTTTTTGATACATGGCAAAAGCTGATGGTGGTGTCATATTACTTGATGTTAAGTTTAACTCAAACACAATGAGAGATATAACTTAAGACTTTAACTCTCTAGTAAAGAAATTTTTTAGCAGCTTCTATTTCTTTCACTGATTATTAATGATCAGTGTTTTAAATATATCTGTTTAATTATAATAATAGGTAAATCCTTGTACCTGTAATCAGTGAGAAATGATAATGAAATCGACATCGAATAACATTTTCTCTGTAATGACTAGATTTCGAAATTAAAATTAAATAATTCTATATAAATTTTCTTTATTAAATTAAATATCGCCTTCGTTGCAATTTACTTTCTTCTCTTCCAAAAGCAAAGCGTTACTAAGATAGGTTAGATTCCAACATATATTGCATTAATACGAAAACTACATGAAGAATCTATCAATAAATAAATTAGAAAAATTTTATGATTTTATGAGAAACTGCGATATAACTCACTGTTAAACATACTGACCTTTTAATACTAGTCTACACGTGAAAATTGGTAATGACGAAGCCACGCGTGTCACGTGGTACGTCGCAATATATCCAATAATATAAGGCTGCTGTCGAGTTGCCACTACGAATGCTTTGAAGCGTTTCTTGATTGGTCAGTTTGTATAACTCTTTCTTTTGATTGGTTAATCAAACGCTTCAAAACATTCGTAGTGGCAACTCGACCGCAGCCTAATCAAACAGAAACCTGAGGCCGGCGACGCCCGGCATCCTATAGAGCGGAAATTTACAGCGGAACGGAATAATGAGATAATCACAATCTTCTTTAATTAATAGCTCCCGCCTCCAGTTAATTAATAGGAGAACGATACGGCGATAATCACAATCGCAGAAAGGAAAGCAGAGTAAGGACTAAGGACGGTTCCAGACGGTTCACACCTCAGTCCTCACACCTTGACGGAAAAACGAAAAGCGGAAAAGCAGTAGCCAATCAGACCTCGTGTTAGTAGTAAGTAGTATAAAACAAACAGAAAGTCGACTACCAGCGCGAGTTCTGGTCGCGTTCAGCAGACTCAACTGTTGCGGAGCGGATCCGTGAGCGCTCGCTGCTATTGGATGATCTAAAAAAATATACCAATAGCAGCGAGCGCTCACGGATCCGCTTTCCGCTCCACAACTTGAGTCTGCTGAACGTGACCATTGGCTACTGCTCTTCCGTTTTCCGCTTTTCCGTCAAGGGTGTGAATCCGGCTGTCCTGAAAATGATACTCTGATCTTTTTCGTGTACCAAGTCTCATAGGGTAATGTTTATAGGTTTTTTTGGACAAAGATGAATAATCAATGATGGTTCGTCTTTGTCTAACTTACGTAATAGTATGGAGAAGAACCACAAAAATGTGGACATTACCCTATGAGATTTGGTACACGAAAAAGACCTTGGCCGGGGGGTATTCATAAGTCAATTCTTATATTCAAGATCGTCTTAAGTACAGTCTTAAGATGTCACGAATCAATCAAAGGCCGGTATTCATAGTCGGTTCTTATTTCAAGACTGTCTTAAGTAATGTCTTAAGATGCTAAAGCGGCCCTCTGATTGGTTCATAACTCTTCAAGACTGAACTTAAGACGGTCTTGAATATAAGAACTGACTATGAATACCGCCCAAAGGGCTGCATTCGCGTCTTAAAACATTACTTAAGATAGTCTTCAAATAAGAACTGACTATGAATACCGGCCTAAGATGTCCACTCTCAGGTTTCTCTCTGATATAACATACCAGGGCTCTACTCACGCCACAATCTACATCACAAGTATTTAAACTTTCTTAGCATTCGAATATTTGAGGATTCTAGAATCGGGATCATTCCATGACATTCAATAATCCCAAGGTCGTTATTTCACCTTTTTGTTTTTGTTATATGACAAAATTTTAAAACCTGTTGATTGATTATAAGATAGAGAGATCCGAGGACCTTTCTATTCTGCACACATTTATCATAGGATAAAACGACCCTTACCCCGGATTTACAATACGTGTTTTAAGCCCTAAGCTGTAAGAAATTAGCCAATTACAGTCGAATTCGAGGAGAATAATCGACTATGATTCGTCCATTCCTTATATGACTTAAAGCTTAAAACTCTATTGTAGATCCGGACTTATTCACGCAGCTTTTTCGTTATGTAAAATACCTGCGCAACGACATCCCTAGCTAGTAAAATTGTTGTTAAAAAGTTACCAGTAATCTATTCTCTAGAATCGTGATACTGTGTCCTGATAATAAAAAAAAAAAGAAAGATTCATCCCTTATTTAATAAATAAAGATTAAATTAAAAGAATATAAAAAGTAAAAAGTATGAAATATCAAATCTAAAGATTAAATAGAGTTTTAAATAAAATGAAAAACAATTATATCGTAATTGAATTTTTCTTTTAAATTTTTTTCACTCTCGCAAAATAAAAATTCCAGTAAATTGATAAGCTCTGAACATTTTTTGCAAAAAACAGTATTTCATCTCATCTCTTTTCGAACACACTGCCAATTTAAGAGATTTGATAAATTAAAAAATACGGTATTAATTATACATAAATTATAATTACAAATTATTTGAGAATATATTACGAAAAAGACCGACGATTTTTTTTTTACATTATTTCGCGCAGAGCAAAGTAAAAAGAGAAGATATAGATTTTTTCAAAGTTTATTTAGATCCATTAAATCTATACCACCCATAATAAATCTTATGAGACCAAGTTTTTTTTACCTAGAAAATCTATACATAATTACCCGGAAAAAGTAAGATTAAACCCGTACACTGCGATACATATTACAGTCGAGAGAGTCACCGTATTCTGCACTCTATTTTAAACCGTTTCTTCATACGCTATCTCTCCTATTATTTAGTTACATCCTCTCATCACAATCGGTTTAGAGCGGCATATCGAGCGCAGAGACAATTTATTCTGGACGCTTTAGAATGCACATGGAATTGTTCTGCATCATAAAGACACACATAATGTTTCGAAAAGGTTCGTATTTCAGTCGAGGTATTATTCATCGATTTTTCGAGCAAAGGGACACAGTAGTGTCGCCCGCTTGTCTTAGCGTCGAGACACTACTGCGTTTCCTGATACAGGGCGTAAGTGTATGTTGTGTATGTGTTTATTATATATATATATATATATATACATATATACGTACTCTCTAAATCCTTTGGAATAGAATCTCACTCTTAGAAATGAAAATTTAGCTAATCTCGAAAAAAGATTGGCTTAATTTTCAACCTTTAAAAATCAGACACTGTACTCCTCAAAGTGAGAGTCACTCTAAAAATTTTATAAAGAGTAGATATATATAATATATATATATATTGTATACATATATATATGTGTGTATGTGTGTATAATAATAATTTATGTACATTGTGACTAATGCTCTTAAGGACCGCATTAAAACTTATAATCGCTATACTTAACGTCGCAACGTTATACTTGTATATATTAATAGCGTATAGGTATTTCTTTTACTGGTTTTGCCGCATAAATTACGATATTTTGTATGTTTTCTTCAGCGTGTACCAATGAATCAAATTCCTTTCCTCTTCCTCCACTCACAATGATGTTTTTGATTACATTCAAGAATTAATTATCTATATACATGTACATGGCATACCCTTTTAATTTTTCAATTGACTCAAAGTCAACATGAATATGGGCGTGCGTTATAGCATCTATACTTTGAAAATAATTTACAAAAATTTCTGCTTCACTTAATTAGTATAATTTATCGTCGCATTATCTCTTCCTAGCGTCAGACGCGCGTAATATTTGTTTTCTTAATTGCAAATTTTCTTCACGGTACGCGCAGAACTGTTAACTCGAAAGGGTCAATGGTCCGTGTTAATTAACTCCGGTTAACAATTTACTGATCGTTTTTTTTTTTTTTACATTATACAGCCACAACTATAACGTGCACAACTATAACGGGATCTAACTACAACAGGTTTAGTTAAGCGGAGTTAATTTGCTGACCGAGCCTGGTGCCCAAGTTGTCGGAACGTACTGTTACATGATCGTCTCCTTTTTCTCTCTGTTGTAACAAAACTGACAACATAGAGCGACAAGGCGCGAAATATCGAGACGCGTTTGCTCGACGAAGATATCTCGCCCATCGCCGCTTCCCGATTTCGCATCGTGTGTCACGTTCGTCTATTGCATTTACGGAACTAGAAGCGTCATTTTTATCAACGTTCTATAAAACAATCAATATTTATTATCGATACTCCATTACTGACGTAGCTACTGCGGTAACAGTAGAGTCTTGTACTTCGAGAAATTAAATAAAGTCCCTGTTGACGCAACAGCAGATGTGTGTTAGCTAGAATCTTCTCTACAGGAAACAATACAAAGATCTAATTGATCAAAAATACTTAGAATGTCTTTTAAAATATTTTTTGGGGATGTGTATCTAATATACAGATCTTCTTTTAAAACTATGGAAATTATGTACATAAATTACGTAAACTGAGAATGTTCGATATTAATGAGTGTGTTTTTTTATTCCACATTCCATTACATCTACATCTATTTTTGTAAATTTCTACATATCAAATTTACATTTATTTTACATATTAAAATAAAAAAGATCATTCTAAAATTTTGATGCACCATATGTAATGAATGTAATGAA